TGAATCCTGTCCTCTAGGGCCTTTCATGGAGACTTCGTTGGATAGGCATGATTGACAACCATGTAGAAATGTGATTGGACAAAAAGGGCATGGCCTAAACCCAGCAAGGCCTGTCACTTCAGATTCTTCATGGCTTCTCTGTGAGGCATCCTTCCTCCAAGGTTTGGGGCAGAGCCCTCTATGGAGCAAAGGTCTTATGACCCACAATCAGATTAGAGTCCTGCCTTAGGCAGGTGAAAGGAGGGCAGGTCAGAGAGAGAGAAAGATTCTGCCTCCTGAGACCTTCTTCTGAGGCCCTAAGTGCCCCAACATTATGACAAGAAGCCATAAGTCAGGAATCATGGACAAAGATCTATATAGATAGATGATAGATGGATGGATAGATAGATAGATAATGTCATATCCTATAACCTCCTGGGGAGTAACTAAGGTGATGACTGTAAAGTGCTCAGTGCTGGGAGTTCTCTTTCAATCCTCGTGGCTGTGCCCTAACAGGGAGCAGATGTCCTGCTTGCTGGAGAGGAAAAAAGCCCTGTCTAAGCCTCACTCACTTAGTGATTGTTGAGAGGTCCTTCATGCTTCATTTTCCTTTCTCATAGAAGCTTAAGGATACCCAGGTAACCTAGGCTCAGATTACATTCAGGCTCACTAAGGGTGGCTGCTAAACCACCCTTTTAGACCTACTCTCTCCTTTCTCTCCCCCTTACCAGCTAACAGAAAGCAGGGTTCTGTCTGGTCATTTACAGCTATAATTGCTTAATACTTAAAAAATCAAGGGGAAATTGGGTTTTTTAAAGCTTTTGGAAAGGTTTCATTGGCAGCCTTCTCACTTGGAAATCTCTATTTTTGGTGGATGTTTTGATAATTTATATAGATTTTGTTTGTTTAGGTAGGACAGAGGAACCAAGAAGAGTTTACAGTCTGGCTTTTTGCTCCGTGCATACAATTCAAACAGCATGAAATAAAGTAACTCTTAATTTGAAAAAATAGTGGGTTGTCACATCAACAGGGTGTTAACTTAGTGTAAGTCAGGAAGTCAGAACACCTGGTTCTAATCATAACTTTTACTACCTGTGTGACCTTGAACAAGGCACTTAACCCCTGAGTGTGGTTCCTGGACCAACAGCATCAGTATCACCTGACAGCTTGTTTAAAATGCATAACCTGGATCCTCACCCCAGACCTACTGAATATGAATCTGCAACTTCCCAATGGCCCCAGGTAATTGGTATAAACATTAAAGTTTGCAAAGCCCTGGTCATGAGCCTATTTCCTCTTTGGTCAAATGGGGATGGTATGACCCACCCGAACATCTCACAGGGTTATGATGAAAAGCAGATGAGATAATACACGTAAACATTATTTTATACTGCAAAATACTGCACAAATGCCAAGAATTAAAATGTCTCCCAATGTGAAACATGGAGAATGCTAATTGTGTTATTGTATAAAATGCTTCTCAATTAATGGTAATCACTGTAATGGGATTGGCCTTTCCTGATCTTTGCTCTTGATGCTCTAATATTTTCCAGATTATGACCTTTCGAAGATGAGGGACTTCATCAACCAACAAGCTGATGTTTATGTGGAGAAAGGCATCCTTGATAAGGAAGAAGCTGAGGCCATCAAGCGCATTTATAGCAGCCTGTAAAAATGGCAAAAGATCCAGGAGTCTTTTGACTGTTTCAGAAAACATAATATAGCTTAAAACACTTCTAATTCTGTGATTAAAATTTTTTGACCCAAGGATTATTAGAAAGTGCTGAATCACCTTTTAGAGGTGATTAAAACATAGCTTTCTTCCCGTAAAAACTATCTGAAAGTAAAGTTGTATGTAAGCTGAGATTTTGTAAACGAAATCCTTATTTCCTCATAGACTTATATTTTATCATCAGAATATGTTGCTTTGAAAAAGCCTCTAATGGACCCTAAAGCTCACCCTTCTTCCCACTGTCTCATCCACACAAGCATTTCCTGAAGTATTGAGGGGGTTCTGTTTTCAAGGCATGCCAGGTACCAAAGCACCTTGCAGAATGTGTCTGTTACAAGATGTTGTTTCCATTAGCAGTTCCCTTTGGAGAGCTGAAATAAATTCACATTTTCTCAAAGTCTCATAGCTTTGGAAGAGCCGTCTACTTTTTTGGCTGCTCTTTTTATCTAGTTCTTTATTAGGCCCAGTGACGCAAAAAGGATCAGATAAATGGGTACAAGATTTGCTGGATTTACTAACAGTTTCCCCCTGCTCTTAACACTTCCTATTAGTGACTTTTCAGACACTGAGTTTACTTATCAAGAGGGATATTTATGTCCTCTCTAAGAAGACAAACAAGGTAGTAAACACTGCATAAAGCAAGGCAAAAAGGTATGCCCCATCTCAGTTATCTAAACTGGATTAGAGCCAAGCCAAGGTTTCTCAACAGAGAGCAAAGGGTCAGGCAGTAGGATAAAAATAGAGATAAAGATCATTCCTTCCTTGTGATCCAAAGCTGGTAGAGCAGCTTCCCTGGAGGAAAAGGTTAATGAACTTCAGGTTCCAGCAACTCAGCCCCCGTCACAAACACAGCCTGGGAAACAAACATACAGTGGTCCAAGGTCCTCTTGAAATGCTCACAGTTAATGTTCACAAACCAGAGAATGCTTTGAAAATGTATTATTCAGTGTAAATTAATTACATACATATTTTCTATATATTTGCTTCAAATCGTAAAAATAACAGAATGTTTTGTGTATTAGCTGTCACTATGACCATGTTTCAAATGGTCTTCTGACACCTGCATTGCTGTCCCGAATGCCCCTATCTGGTATGCCACCTTTTGGTGGGGACTGTAGGGAAAGGCTGGTTTTCACGGGTAGGTGATGGCTGCTGCTTCTCCCATCCTCTTCAGAGAGTTGCAGAAACAAACAAAAGCCAAAGCCTGAACACACACACACAAACCAGACTCAGTATGCTCTAGAGAAGCCAATACCCATCCATGGGTGGAGAGAGGGAACTAAAAATACCCTTGCCCAAATAACACTTGCCAAAACACAGAGAACCAGACTGTTTCCATGAGTCATCATTGATAACATGGCCGACTCTGATTCAGCTGAACCCAAACAGGCTGCATGCATGTCCATCAGACAATAAACTGGCACTGACTAAAGCATTTTATCCATTTGCTTTTCTATAATGGATCTAAATACCTATGCAGTATTTTTGAAAATAAGAATGTACTTAGGGAGTTTATTGCAGTTCTTAAAGCACATTGGCATTCATTAGCTCCTACTCATGACCAAAACAAAAGGAAGATCATCAGTCCTGTTTTATAAATGAGGAAGCTGGTTCACAAAGGGAACAAAAGCACAGGATATGCTCCAGCTTCTGTGACCAAGAAATGGTAAAGCTGGGATAGAACCTAAGTTTCTTGTCTCTCAGCCCACTCCAGTGATTCTATGCGCAAGGTAGGGACTGAAGTACTCAGTCTCGAACAGTTCAACTGTGGCCACGAAGAATTCCAAGTTACTAACAACTTGAAGATGAGCAATGTTTGGCTAGAGAATGCTAAGAGAGACTGTAGGCAAAAATAAAATACTCAGAAAAAAAGTTTTTAAGATTGTGGTCTTAATTTCAAATGTCTTTTGGATGACTCTCAAATTTCAGATCACTTTAGGTTCAATAGCACGACAACTCTACATTTTTAATGGTTCTTAGGCCACCAGAGATGCTTGTTTGAACCTTTTCTTACATACATACCTGTTTTCCTTCCCTTATGTTTTTCATTTAGGTCTCTCTTCATCCAACTAACTCCCCACAGTTCAGGTAATGAATACAAGCAAACAGCAAAGCATTATCAGGAGAGTGCCCTATTTTAAAAAAAACAAAACACCTTTTTTTGAGATGGAGTCTCGCTCTGTCACCCAGGCTGGAGTGCAGTGGCATGATCTCTGTTCACTGCAACCTCCGCATCCCAGGTTCAAGCAATTCTCCTGCCTCAGCCTCCCAAGTAGTTGGGATTACAGGTGTGCACCACCATTCCCGGCTAATTTTTTGTGTTTTTAGTAGAGATGGGGTTTCACCATGCTGGGCAGGCTAGTCTCAAATTCCTAACCTCATGATCCACCCACCTCAGCCTCCCAAAGTGCTGGGATTACAGGCATGAGCCACTGTGTCCAGCCAGAGAGTACCCTATATCAAAGATGCTATAACATGACAAAAAAAGATAAGACACAAAGGATTATGTATGTTATGAACAAACAAGAAAATCAGCAAGACAAGGGCTGACAGCTACTGTTTCCCATTGATGCAGCAGTTGGTCAGCCTTAGGGTTTGGAAGTGTACAGTTCTAATTCTGCAAGCTCTGATGCATTAACACGTAAGGGCATTTGTTTCTTGTTTACTGGATGACCTGAAGAAGTGAGACAGAAGGAAAGAAAATGAGGGAAGATAAAAGAGAGAGGAGAAAAAGTAACAAAAAGAGGAAAACGAAATTATTTTTGCTATGTTGAGATGGGGTAGATATGGGGAATTTCAGTGGAAGCCTAAAGATTTATTTAATGTAACAGTTGAATAGAAATCAAGACCAAAATAATATATAATTATAAATGATATATTGCTTAAAGTATACTACTGTAAACTATACATATAATAAAGACCAATTAAATTATGAGAATAAAAATCTCTCAATTCAAATAAGTACAAGATTACCAAACACTCTATAAAGTAACCTAGCAATGAAATCTAAACTACAATTCTGCAATATAATATCAGATTATGGTATTATTTATTTGTTCTTTTGATTTATTCCACATTTTCACTATATCTGAACCACATTAGGTCAATGAAAATGCCAAGATTACTAGTAACTGTAATTGATTCACTTTTAGATTATTAATACTTTTTTCAAAATTATATTTATAATAATAAAAACCATTAAAGTGAAGAAGGAGCTATCACCATTTAAATATATAACATAAACATCAATTTTATTTTCTCTTTTATTAAAAAAAAATTAAGACTCAAGTTTGAAAACATAGTTTATTTTCTCATTCAGAATTTTGTGGTTTATTTTTACAAAATAGCAAACAAAATTTGGGTCTTTATATTAATACAGAATATGTAAGACATATCGAAATATATATATGTATATAGCACTTAAGTTATAAACACACAGCAAATTCAACATAACTTAAACAGCAACCATATTTTCACATAACTAGGATTGCATAAGGAGATAGACATTATTTTTAGCCTAAATATATAAATAGGTCGCTGATGCTTTATGTCAATTAGTACTTATAAAAGCTAGTCTAAAAACTAACACCACCTACAAAAGTGATAAGCTTTAGAATACAACCTTGCCATCATGCCATAACAAAGACTTAACATTATAGAAAGCCAGAGGGAACTAATCACTTCAGTGCAATTGCAGCAGGTAGAACTACCTAGTTATGATTTTAAGATGAACACTATGAGAATCCAGAAGGGATGTTTTTGAATCTTCATTTGTTGGATTCTTTATGGTCCAAACATATCTTAATTTTGGTTTCAGTTATGTCCCCAGATCACCTAACTGTGATAGAGGGAAGTTGCATAGGGACTTTCTTCATCTCTGAAAGAAAATAAATATACCATAAATCAGTATTTAGAACTGTATTCAAAAAACTAAAACATAAACATATTATACAATTTAATATCTACTTGTTAAAGAAGGAATATATCAACTTAGAGTATTGTTCATGACTAGAAAGTTGTATGAAATGCCAATACTTAAGAGATACCTTACTGTCCCCATTTTATTTGTATCTCAGTTATTGGAATAAATAATGTCATTCATTTATGTGTTTATATTTGTTTACATTATATTTAAATATATTTTAAATCTATGCTAAATTATATTCATATTTAGATTTGTTTATGTTTTCTATATTCCACCTCTTTCTCAAAAGGATTTAAGGTACCACCAACAAAAGGCATATATATAATAAGATGAATAAAATAGAAATTTAAAAATCAGGACTAAGGAAAGAAGAAGGAAACCAATGTATTAATCATAAGAAATAGTTGCTGAACCCAGGTATCAATTTTAGTTGCAAGCTTCCCAGTAGCCAGAGCAAAAAAAGGAAACACAATAGATTATGCTTTTTTGAAATCAGATCATAAAGAAAAAAGGAAACCAATTCCACAGGAGAGAGAAAGGTCTATCCTAATACCAAATTTAAAAAACAAAGAAAAAAGCTCACATGAGATCTTATGTAGGAAACACCCAGTAACAAATAACAATGTCTTTGACAAGTTTTATAAAGATCAATATTTTACAGGTATTTTCTATGACACTGCTTCTCTTGAAAGTGTCAATGAGAGAGACATTTTACTTGGCTTCTATCCAGAATTGCTAGCTGGACAGTGGTGCTACTAAATGAAGAAGCAAACTTTGTATAGTAAATAACAGATAAAAACACTGCAACAGATAAAGCCTCATGCAGCAGGCAGTAGCTCTGCAGAGTTTATACACTAAAAATGCCTTTCTAGAACTAAAATGCAGTTTTTAAAGCAAAAAAATAAAATAAAATAAAATAAAAGAAAGAAGAAAGATTTGGCCCAGCAAGGACATCTTAATAGTAATTTATTCAGACTTTGACATTTGTACCAGGGTATTCTTACCTGCTCTCTTCTTTTAGCTTCTTGGCTGCCTGTGTGGATAACTTAATCTGCAAGTCAAGTCTCTGCAGGAAATCTCTGGCTGATACTTCCTCAGGCTGCACAGGCTGAACATCAGATTCTTGAGGACTGGGAGGAGGGAGGTCTTCCCCAGCCACCACCGGCTCCTCTTCCTGAGAAAAACTGTTATCAACAGTTTCATTTTCTGGAGAATCAATAGAGTTAAGTCCATTAAACAACAAAGGCTTCTCTGATATAACTGGGATGTTCAAAGTCTTCTTCAGAAATATACAGTCATTGGTAAACAGTTTATTGGCCCTTTTAATCTGTTCCATCTAAAATATAAAAAAGGAAACACAGAGTTACACATAACCAAGTCAAGGAATAGGGTTTATTATACAACACAGAACTACCAATATTCATAAGCAAAATGTGCACAATGCTTTCTTGGGATTTGAGACTTCATTCAGTTTTGGTAACCTCCCCAGATATCTTCAGTTATTTTAAGAGATGTTGGGAAATTGTTTCCCAATTTTAGAAAAAGGACAGACTAATTTTTCCTCACTACACTATTTCTACTACAAGGCAGCTTTTAATATCAGTGGACTTAAATCTCTCAAGTTTAAAAATGTAAAATTTTAGCACTTAATAAATTCCATTCTTGTTTTAACATCTCTATTACCTGATTTAAAAAAAAACTTACCACTGCTACCATTTTACCTATGGAGTTCTTCTCATGTCTCTAGAACTCTGCTTAGTAAATACAATTATCCCTTGGTATTCATGGGGGATTGGTTCCAGGGCCCCTTGTGGATACCAAAACCCAAAGATGCTCAAGTTCCTTATATAAAATGGCATACCAGCCTGGGCAACATAGCAAGACCCCATCTATTAAAAAAATAAATCAGTCAGGCATGGTGACCTGCACCTGTAGTCTCAGCTACTCAGGAGGCTGAGGCAGAAGGATTGTTTGCGCCTGGGAGGCTGAAGCTGCAGTGAGCCATGATTATGCCATTGTACTGCAGCCTGGGTGACAGAGCAAGACACTGTGTTAAAAAAAAATTACTTATACCTGATACAATTTACAATGTAAATTCTGTGTAAATAATTGTTACACTGTATTGTTTAGGGAACAATGACAAGAAAGAAAAGGTTGTACTTTTTTTTTGAGAGAAGGAAAGAAAAAAAGGAGTGAAGGAGAGGAAGAAAAAGAGGGAGAGAGAAGGGAAATGTTGCTTTATTCTAAAAAAAAATGGGTATTAATAATGGCCAATGTTTCATTTAAACCTATGAGTAGGTGTGATGTGGCATTGACAAGAATGTATATTTTGTGTATTTAAAGTGGAGAGCTCTATAAATATGTATTAAGTTTACTTGTTCCGGATCTGAGTTCGAGTCCTTGATAGCCTTTAGTACAGCTGCAACCATAGCAGGGCCTAACTACATTTTCAATCCACCGTTGGTTGAATCCATGGATACTGAACCCATAGATATGGAGGCCTCACCGTATAACAGATACAGGAGGTGAGACAGACATAAGTACAAACCAGAATTTGAAAGGACGGTATAGGTAGGGCTGTAGTCATCAAGAAAGTCCTCATGGGGAAGGTGTGGTTCCAATTTGATTCTTTATAGCAGATAGACCTTGAAGAATTGGGAGATGTGGGACAGGTAAGAAAAGGAGGTGGGGGCACTTTACATACAGTGTCTCTTCTTTTTTTTTTTTTTTTTTTTTTTGAGATGGAGTCCCTCTCTAGCGCCAGGCTGGAGTACAATGATGCGATCTCTGCTCACTGCAAACTCGACTCAGGTTCAAGCGATTTTCCTGCCTCAGCCACCCAAGTAGCTGGGATTACAGGCACCTGCCACCACGCTTGGCTAATTTTTGTATTTTTAGTAGAGACTGGGTTTCACTATGTTGGCCAGCTGGTCTTGAACTCCTGACCTCACAATCCACCTGCCCTGGCCTCCCAAAGGGCTGGGATTACAGGCGCACGGCCCAGTGTCTCATTCTTTCTACCTTAGAGGGTATGTGAAGATCCACTTTACAAATAAACTCTTTATTTACTTACAAATAACTCTTTCTTGTGAGGTATGTAGCTGACAGTGAGGTGCAACAGCTAAGCACACAGGCTTTGGAAGCTGCCAGACCTTGTTCAGATCCCAGCTCCACCACAACAAACCATATGAACATGAGCTTGTTACTTATCTCATTGATCCTTTTTCCTCTCAGGCCCATGTCAGAATCACTTAGACATAGAGATTATGCACCATGAAATCATCATACAAATGGCAGACGAAGATGCTACAGCTTAGTACAGAGTTTTATAGCCTGTGGATGCCTCCCACAAACCACAGAGATGGGGAAGGGAGGTGGGAGTGAAGAGGAAACAGAATTTACAAGCATTATCTTATTTAAAAATCATAACAGGTCTGCAATCTAGATATTATCATCTTGGTTTTCTTTTTTTTACAAATGAGGAAACAGAGACACAAGAAAGTAAGTGGCATGCCTAAATCCACAACGCTGGTAAGTGCAGAAAGGACTCAAACTCTGCCTACTCTTCTGTTCCTCACTCCATATTATAATATGTCTACAAATTTCTCTACCCTACTAGCCTGGGGACTCACACCAAACTTGTAGCATTGTAGATGCTCTCCCCACAACTCTTTCTTGTTAGGTATGTAGCTGGCAGTGAAGTGCAACAGCTAAGCACACAGGCTTTTGATGCTGCCAGACCTGGTTCAGATCCCAGCTCCACCACAACAAACCATATGAACATGAGCTTGTTACTTATCTCATTGATCCTTTCTCCTCATGTGTAAAACAGGTACCATCTACCTTTCACAAGGATTAAATGAGAGCTTATATACTCACTCACATAGAGAATACATATACATATATATATGAAACAGAATATATAAAAATATATGTACATTCCGTACATACATTTCCCCATATAGATGTGTATGTATGCGTGTTTATATATATATATGGAAAGAGAGAGAGAGAGTAATGATTATAGTGTTTGGCAGTGGATAGTACTACTCTCCATTTTCCAATGAAGAAATCAAAACACAAAAGAGATGGTAGATTTGACCAAGTACATAAGGCTCTTTACATAGTTAAACTGGGAATTTTGTCTGACTCTAAAGTCCATACAACATCTGGATTAAAGTGCACAACTAATGGGACCACATTATGGGGAGCCTTTAATGCCAAATGAATTCTGAGTAAAAACAAAAAATATATATTTCTACTTCAAAAAGCCTGCGAAAACAACTGTCAACTAAGTGGACCCTGTTCATCCTGCTTTATTATAAGCTGATTCCATGCAAAGCACATGTAAAGCTTTCTTTTTTCTTCTAAAGATACTCCATTAAAGGAATGTGATTTTTAAAAAGGATGGTCTTTTGTGTTCTAGTTTCTAGTTTAGGGGGAGAAAGAGAACATAAACATGGGCAGGTGCCTTTTAAAGACAAAATTAAAATCTAAAAATCCCAGCATCTCTGACCTGGTTCTAGTTTGAGAGGGTTAATAACTTGGACACTCTGCCTATAACAGGCTCAGGTACATGCTATTCTGCCTTTAGGACCCTAGATCTTGCCCCTGAGCATCCAGCTGCCTCATCTCTCTTTGTACACAGGCTTCCAATGACACTAAGCCCTCTCCTGGCTCCAGAGTGAGGATGTGACTCATTCCTACCCTGTGGAGCATCACAGGTTTTCGTGATAGATCACAGGCCCATGTCAGAATCATTCAGACATGCAAGGAGACTTTTGCAGGGCCTTGGAGGGGTGAGTTCTCTACTGTGTTCTGTGGGAAGGAGACAGGCAGGAGATGCTGGCAGTCATCCTGCCACCTTGTGGAATCTGATACTGAAGCCACCTTAGAGGTGAGCATTTAGATTTCTGGATCACAGCCTGAAGACAGAACATACTCAGTTCCAAGAGCCACTAAACTCCACTTGGAGTTTGTTTTTTGTTTAGGCCAATTTGAGTTAGGTTTTCTGTCACTTGTAGCTCAAAGAGCTCTTGCTGATACAGTGCCCTTTCAAATACTTATTGGAAGGAGACTACAATTGCTAATAGTTATGGCTTCCTGGGAATGAGGGAAGACAGAACAGATGGGAACACCAGGATCCAAAATGCTGAACAGAGCTGGGAACTGCAAGAGTACACTATGAATACTTTCAGGGAAAGAACTGGTTATTGCTATAGCCTTCCTAGTCTGACATAGATCTCATACACACTAAGTGCTCTGGATGGATGGATGGATGGATGGATGGATGGATGGATGGATGGATAGATAGATGGATGGATGCATGCATGCATGTATTAACACAGGTCAGAGGAGTAGGCATAGAAGATGAAGTGATCGGTAAGTTTTCTGTCATGCTGCTTATTATCCTTTCAAACCCACTCTCCCCTCCCAATCCATTCCCCATTCTTTTTGAACTTGTTCTAAACCCCAGGAGGCTGACTTTTTAAGAACAGCATTATCCAGGTGCCCTTGTCCTTGGAATTCTAGTTGGTTTTCCAATAGCAGCAGAATGAGCTTACCATAAACAGTGGCTGCATTCCTCTCTAGTGAGAGTTCCTATCGGGAGTCCCATATCCAAGGCTCCAGATGTTGCCAGTGTTCCCTTGGCCCTTCAGGCCTAGGGGTAACGTCTCCCTGCTATTGCTAAGCACCTGTGAGTGCTTCACCTTCCCTTGTTGCTTTCCTTCACCATGCTCACACTCAGTAAATGTCTCTTCATTAAACTCTCTTCGGCTGCATCCTCTGAGAGTGTTATCTGTATCCTGCTGGGATGCTGACAGATACATCTATCACACAGAGCACAATAGGCCATCAAGGCCAGGCAAGGGGCCAATGCTACAGAGGACTAGACAAGGTGAGAGTCAGAGGCTGCATGCTGTCAGGGAGTCCACAGGCAGTGAAGGGCAGGGCTCCCCCTGGCTTCTGTACACATTGCTGCACAAGTGACTCAATATAACTGGTCCATAAACTTCCTAAAGTCAGGAGCTACACTGTCTTCATCTCAATGTCATTAGTGAGCATTTAAGATGTATGTTGATCTTTACAGTCTAGGCTCTAAGATGACACATGAGATGCCAGAGTCAAGGACACCAGGGATATCCGACACAGTTAGCATCAATCTAAGGACAGGGACAGATTTGAGTCTTGAGTTTAATACAGGGTAGTACTGAGAAGCATGAGTTCAGGAGCCATACTGCCTGGGTTCACATTCTGGCCTTCCTACTTTCTAACCATTCCCTGTTTTCTTATCTGTAAAGTAAGGATAGTAATAGTTCCTTCCTCTTAATATGA